GCCTGGGGATAACCCACTCTACACGCAAGTTTCCTGCCCAAAGTCATTCAGTTTTACTTGCTCTTTGGGCTGGGAAGGCCACTGTTTATCTCATGCTCTGGTTCTTGGTTCTGCTGCGGCTGCTTCTCTACCACTCCTCAGTTGTCACAGTTTTCTGGTGTTGGGGTCCAAAGGACATGCTCTATTCCTCGTTCTTTCCTAATAGTAGTGACATCCCCTCTTCTGCTTCTGAACGGTTCATTTTATAATCATGCTAGAGTCTCAAGTTTTCACAATTACAATGATCTCTGCTAACGCCCACAACTGAATTATATTATCCTATCAGTATCTGGAGTCCTGGTGTGGTGCTTGTGAGTTATTGCGCCAGACTGCAAAGCCATTTGAACTATAAGGTTGGCAGCTCAAGCTCACCAGCTGCTCCTCAGAAACCCTACACAGGGTCACTATCGGTCAGAGTCGACTTGACAGCACTTAACAACAACAACAGCATCAGTATTTTCTTACTTCTTCTCTTACTAGACCCAGCAGGGCAGAAATATTGTTTGATGGGAATTATAGAGTGTGGCTAGAAGACACATTATGTAATCCACTACACCGCAGTACTCCATTGTGCTCATGGGAAGCTCCATTAGGAGCAAGGACTAAGGGTAGCAGCCAACAAAAAGGAATTCAAGTGTGAAATCAGATGTAGTACTAAATTAAAATAAGTGTAGACATCTTGACTATTTCCAGAAAGTGGGTGTCCAAACCTGCCTTGTGGAAGGTGGTCGAGAAAACATTGGCTCAGTAGTCAAGAGACTTGAGATTTAGTCCTAGCAATGCCAGTGAATCACACAGTAACCTACCCCAAGATTCTGTTATCCATCTCTAAAATAAGGATTGGGCTAAGGAATTTCCACAGTCTTGAGAATAAAACAATGTTTCAAGCATAAGATCAGTATAAACTCTATGGCGAGATGTTCAGGAAAAGCAATACAACATCAATTGGAAAGATTGCTGTTCGCTGTGATCAAGTTGACTTTCATTTATAACAACTGTATATATATATACGTGTCACAGAATGAAACCTTGTCCAGTCCTATGTCATACTCATGATTATTGCACAAGAAGACCATCATTGCAACTGTTGTGCCAATCCATCTCACCTAGGGTCTCCCACACCTTCACTGGCCCTCTATTTGACCAAGCATGACATTCTTCTTTGGCAATTGCTCCTTATGTCCGAAGCAAGTGATCTGAAGCAAGTGAGTCAGACAAGATCCGTAACATCTTCACTGACTTGTTTTTGAAAATAGATCACTAAGCCTTTCTTCCTAATCTTAGTCTGAAAGTTCTACTGAAACGTGTCCACTTGCTCATACTTGAAACACCAGTGGCAGAACTTCCAATGGCATAGCTTCCAGCATCAGAGCAGCACATAAATGATCACTTCTGACTCAGGTGTGGAATGAGCAGGCAGGATCACTGTCATTGTCCCACCAACAAAACACTGATGCAGTGCCCTCCACCTCAGAGAATGGCATCCTCACCCACCCATCTCATTATGCCAGAACCTCACTGGTCATCCATGGCAACTTCTCTCTCACCCTCCTCTCCAAATCCAATCCAGTCACCAAGGCCAGACCGACCACGTTATCTCCCAAATAATTCTCTAAAATGCCCTTTCCCTGCCAGCTCCACTGCCATCACTTTAATATGTCACCTACATCTTTCTCCAGGAGCCTTCTATATGTCCTCTCAGTCGTCACTCTGGTTTCTATCCAGATGATCGTTCACAAACACAGTTACAGATTTAAAAACCATGTCACTGTCTGCTTAACACTCCTCAATGGCTTCCAGACACACTTAGGTTAAAGGAAAAACTTTAAGAGGGCTAGAGGTCACTATGTGATTGTCTCTAATGATGCCGTCACCTTCACCATCTACCTCCCTTGGCTTTCCCATGGCTACCTGTCAGTTCTCTTACTCTGCCATGTTTCCTTGTGCCCCAGGACCTTTGCACATGCTAACTCAAATCCCTGGAAAGCCCTTTGCCCAGCCCCTGACTGGTTACCTTCCTTTCTACCTTTGGTTCACAGTTGAAGTACCACTTCCTCAAGGTGGTCTTTCCAACCCCAAACCCTTACCTGCATTCCAGATTAGATTAGGTTTCTCTGTTAAATGCCCTTCAGTGCATCCTTTCACAATACTTACCACAGTTTTCAATGAAAATCTGGGCGATTACTGGTTCAGATCTGTGTTTTCAGTCATAAGCTCTAGGGAATGTATCTGCTTTACTCAGCATTGTAACTCTGACATAAAGGGTAGCATGGACAATTAATATTGTTTGGATAAATTAATGAATAACTAAAAGGTGAAGGGTGGAATAAAGAGGTGATTAAAACTCATTACCTGGAATCAGACATATTTAAGTTTAAATCATGACTCTGCTTTCTATTACCTGTATGATATTGGACAAGTTATTTAGACTCTCTGAGGTTCTATTTCCTCATCTATGAAACAGCAATTACCTTAAAAGTATGTTGTCAGGATTAATGTAAGGAGTTAAGAATATGCAAATACATTAAGGGTGCTAATATATTAATGAGAAGTCCTGGTGTGGAGCTGTGGGTTAATGTGCTGGACTGCAAAGTCAATTTGAACCGCAAGGTTGGCGGTTCAAGCTCATCAGCTACTCCTTGGAAACCCTATACCGTGTTGCTATGGAACCAATTTGATGGCACTTAACAACAACAACAATATATTAAGGGAAGCCTTATAATTATGATCGTCACTACAAACTCCATGACTACTATAACTTCCTATTCCTGCGCCTGTGGTTCCTACTGGAAGGAGAAGTGAAGAGCAGTCAATAGGCACTTGGTTGAAATCAGGCATATGGAGATACAATCACAAGTTTAAATGAATGCCAGAATTGTCTGGAAGCCTGAGTTTAAAAGCTCTGTCCCCCAGAGACTTGGATTCACTGGGCCTGAGGTGATTCTTGGCAATTTGCCTTTTAGTAAGATCCCAGAGGACTATGATGCATAAAATCTAAGGACTAAACTTTGGGAAATTCTAGTATATTGAAATTAACATGCTTATGAATACTAATATAAATACAATATGACTATTGATAATATACTCTGACTCACATACATTCTTCCCTTTCACCCTTCCTACTTCATAGCATTTTGCTCATATCTCAGAGGTTGTTGTTGTTGTTAGGTGCCATCGAGTCGGTATGGACTCATAGTGACCTTATGCACAACAGAATGAAACACTGTCTGATCCTGGGCTAACCTCACAGTTGTTGCCACGCTTGAGTACATCGATGCTGCCATTTGGCCATTATTTTCTCTTCCTTTTTTCTTTGACCCTCCATCTTACCAAACATGATATCCTTCTCCAGTTGTTGTTATATGCCATCGAGTCGGTTCCGACCCATAACAGTGACCCTGTACAGGGTTTCCAAGGCTGTAAATCTTTATGGGAGCAAAAAGCCTCATCTTTCTCCCATGAAGCAGCTTGTAGTTTCAAACTGCTGACCTTGCTGTTTGCAGCCCAATTCGTAACCACTACGCTACCAGAGCTTGTTTAGCTCCTATCATCTATCTATCTATCTCTAATTTAGCTTGTGAACTCTTGAGGACAAGGATCATACCTTATTGATCCTTGTATTTCCAGGACGTAGCACATTACTTGGAATGGTGTAAGTGAAACCTCAGTCTTGATTTCTGGATGCCCAACTTGCTTTCTTTCCCCGTATGTTCCCCCTATTGGTTGTACCTTTAAAGTATGTGTAGAATGCCATCGCTTCTCATCACTGTTCTACATGCTGGCCCAATCTCCCATTGTTGTTGTGAAGTGCCGTTGAATCAATTCCGACCCATAGCAACCCTGTATAGGGTTTCCAAGGAGTAGCTGGTGAGCTTGAACCACCGATCTTGCAGTTCAAATGACATTGCAGTCTGATGCATTAGCCCACAGTGCCACACCAGGACTCCAATCGGCCATTAGCTCTTGCCTATACTACCTAGTGCTGGGCTTCTAATCAAAAGGTCAGCTGTGCGAATCTACCACAGGAGAAAGATGAGGCTTTCAGCTCCCATAAAGATTTTTGTTTTTTCTTAATGCTTTATTGTGAATTATGTGATAGTTTACATGGGAGGACATCAGCTTCACATTGATCCCATCGTTCCCATAAAGATTTACAGCCTCAGAAACCCTGTATGGGGTTGCTATGAGTTGGAACTGACTCCATGCACACAACTACGACCATCACCATACTACTGAGTCTCTCAACGTCAGTTCTCATCACCACGTAGACTATTGTCTACCCAGCAGCCAGGACAAATTCTTAAACATCTCAGATCATGTTTATCTGCTGCACAAAATTTAAAGTGATTTCCCATTTCACTCAGAAGAAAATCTAAAGTCCTTACTATATAGACCATAGTCCTTCCTCATCTGCTTTCTTTCTACCCTCTCCTCATTTCTTCACACTCTTGTCCTTACTGTTCTTGGATGCATTCAGCTCCCCTCTGACTCAGAGCCTTTGAACTTGCCTCAGAGCCAGACATCTACATGATTTGCTTCCTTGCCATACTCAGGTCTCTGAGCAAACAGCATCTCCTTAGAGAAATCTAAAGTAGCTACTCTACCTCAAATCCCCCTATGTAGATGGAAAATGGACATGAATATCTGTCTTTCCTTGTATCTCAGACTGTTGTATCTAAGGAAAGCCAGTGGTTAAACATGGTCTGAACTATGTTTCCTACTCTTGCCTTGCTTTGGGTTCAGGTCAAGCGTTACTTTTCTCCCTACCTGTTTTTATCTGTTAGCAAATAATATAGAACTAATGAGCTGACAACGCCTTCTGTAATGAAGATAAGCGATCTTCAGACCCAGGAGCATTGACAGCAATCCCTTTTGGAATTTGTCTGCATGCTTTTCTTGCTTGGCATCTCTGTCTTGGATCATTCTGGACACAGTCATATTTTAAATTCTTGTTTCCATAGGGCTTCTTGGGCCTACTTTATATGCTGAAGTTGGAGACACCATGAAGGTTCACTTTAAGAATAAGGCAGACAAGCCTTTAAGCATCCATCCTCAAGGAATTAAGTACAGCAAATTCTCAGAAGGTAAGAGGAATTCATTATCTCTCATACAAGAGGGGATGTACATTTAGAACTGAATTGTTAGCCAGATGTTGTTAGAGAAACCTCCTTCTCTGCAATTGGTAGTTATAAAAATTGTTTCATTTCTAAGTATCAGAAAGGACAAGATTCTGGAGTCTTCCAGACCTTGGCTTTTAAGCTAGCTTCTTGTTCTTTAATAGCTGGGTGACCGTGGGCAAGAGACTTAATCTCTCAGAGCTCCAATATGCGCATCTGTAAAATGGGAATTGCAATACATTGCAATATATTTTAGAAGATTCCTGGGGGTGCAGTGGATTAAGCATTGGATTGCTAACCAAAAGACTGATGATTCAAACCCACCAGTCACTCCATGGAAGAAAGATGTAGCAGTCTGCTTCCACAAAGAATTACAGCCTTGGAAACCTGGTGGGGCAGAAACTCTGTTCTGCAGGGTGGTTATCAGTGAGATGGGGGTAACAGTTTTAATATGGATTTAAAAGTTATCAACAAACATTTCCTGTAAAGGGTCAGATAATAGTAAGTACTTTGGACTTTGCAGGAGTTGTAATGTGGCACTGTAGGATATGCACTGAACTGCTGACAGCAAGGTTGGCAGTTCAATCCCACCAACTGCTCCTTAGAAACCCTATGCAGGGTTGCTATGTGTTGGAACTGACTCAAGAGCACTTAACAACAACAATAACATTATTACTCAAAGGAATGCTGGTAGCGTAGTCGATTACATGTTGGCTTGTTAACCCACAAGGTCAGCAGTTCGAATCAATCAGCTGCTCTGTGGAAGAAAGATGAGACTTTCTGTTCGTAAAAATTTACAGACTTGGAAAACCCTACACAGGGTTGCTATGAGTTGGAACTGACTCCATGGCATGTAACAGCATCAACAGCATTGTTGAATTCTATGGCGCAAAGGCAGCAATAGGCAATATGTAATTGAATGAGTGTGGCTGGGTTACAGTAAAATCTGATTTATAAAACTAGGCAGTAGGTCAGATTTAGTTCATAAGCCATGGTTTCACATAGTGACTTATGGCTAACCTAGCACATAGATAACACTCAGTAAGTGGCACTTGGTTATGGTGGTGGTAGAAAAAATATTCGAATGTTATACATAATGAAGTGGTTAAAAGCTTTGAAGACAGTTAAGTTCTAATTCTAGCTTTATTATGTCTGGTTCTATGACCTTAGCCTCCCTGAGCCTTAGCTTTCTCATCTATAAAATGGGAAAGGGCCTACCCCTGAGGTTTTCTGAAGGATTAAATAAAAGAATTTGGGTTGTGTACCAAACATAGTTTCTGGAACCTGGTAATCCCTCAATAAATGATGATAATGATATTGATCCTGATGATGGTCACAAGAGCCACAGCATAGTTAAATAGCTATTGTTGATAGCATTCTTATTACTCCCGTTATTCTGATGTTCAGATCACCTTGCACAGAGTAAAGTACTGCCCAGAACTAGTTTCAAGCAAAAAGTTTCATCTTTGTTGTAATAGTTACATCTTAAAATGAACACTGACCTTTTATGCTCCTCTTCCATCATACCTTTAAAGAAAGAAGTTGAATAGAAGAGCAATTTATAATGCAAGTTCTAGAATTAGACAGGATAGATATGTATTCTGGCCCAGACACTAGCTATGTAACTTTTATCACGTTTCTTAGTGTTGCTGTGGCTTATCTTTCTCATCTGTAAAAAGTAATCATGTTTACTTCTTACAGATTTGTTGTAATGAGAATGTAGAACCGTGCCGAGCATATAATAAACACTCAATAAATATTACTTAGAATAGGGGTGGGGAACCTTTTTTCTGCCAAGGGCCTTTTGGATATTTATAACATCATTCGTGGACCATACAAAATTATCTATTTAAAAATTAGCCTGTTATATTTGGATGGAATCCTGGTGTGGTATTGTACATTAATGGGCTGAACCTCAAGGTCAGTTTGAACCACCTAAGTCAGCAGTTCAAGTTCATCAGCTGCTCCTTGGAAACCCTATTCAGGGTCTCTGTGAGTCAGAACTGACTTGATGGCACTTAATAACAACAGTATTTGTATGGCTGAAACTGTGGTTGCCTTGGCAGGGCCAAACCACAGGCTGGATGTTCTCCACCTCTGACTTAGAATAAGCACCGGAGTGCAAACCATCAGATTGGTGGTTTGAGGCCACCAGCCATTCTGTGGGAGAAAAATGAAGTTTTCTGCTCCCACAAAAATTTAAAGCTTCAGAAACCCTACAGAGGTTTGCTATGAATCAGAATCCATTTAACAACATTTAACAACAACAGTAACATGAAGATAAAGATGATTTTTCAAGTCAAAATTCAACTAATATTTGCCTGACAAGTTATAGGTTATCCAGCACTTTTTCCATTTATTTTGTCCTATATGAGCCTACTGTGCCATCAAGTCGATACCAACTCATAGTGACCCTATGCACAGCAGAACAAAACACTGCCCAATACTGGGCCAACCTCACAATTGTTGCCATGCTTGAGTGCATTGATGCTGCCACTCTGTCAATCCATCTTGCTGGGGGTCTCCCTCTTTTTCTCTGATACCTCCACTTTAATAAACATGATATCCTTCCCCAGTGACTGGTCCCTCCTGACAATATGTCTGAATTATGAGAGATGAAGTCTGGCCATCCTGGCCTTCAAGGAGCACTCTGGCTACACTTCTTCCAACACAGATCTATTTGTTCTTTTGGCAGCCATGGCACTTTCAATATTCTCCTCCAACACCATAACTCAAATGCGTCAATTCTTCTACAGTCTTCCTTATTCACTGTCCAGCTCTCACATGCATATGAGGTAATTGACAACAACACATATGAGCCGATATGTGGAGCTGTGAGATATGGACTAAACTGCTAACTGCAAAGTTGGCAGTCAGTCCCACCAGCCACTCTCAGAAGCCCTATACAGGGTCATTATTAGTTAGAGCTGACTTGAGGCTATACAACACAGCAACATCTCCTCTGTAAATTTCTGTCAAACTCATTCTCACTCAGGTGTTGTTGCTATTGTTGTTAAGGGCTGTTGAGTCAGTTCCGACTCATAGTGACCCTGTATAGGGTTTCCCAGGAATAAATGGTGGGTTTGAACCACCGAACTTGTGCTTAACAGTCCAGTGCTTATCCTACAGTGCCACACAAGATGACTAATAATAAGTCAATGAACTACCATCTCCAGGATTGTTTACATTAGTACTTAATCCCTGACTTGAAAAACAATGAATCATTAACTGTGGTCTTTCTGGCATCTCAGAGAGCTAATGTGGGAAGACAGGGCGAAGTAGAATGGTCAAGAATTTCTTGACCTAACTAAATGAACAATCACTTAACATATTTAAAATGCCGCATACAGTCTCCATTTCTTATATGGGAAGAGGTAAGTGTGGTAAACTTTGTACCCCAGCCAGGCTGTTTGCACAGTGAATGACGCTGGTGACATTATCCATCCTCCTTTGCTGTTTATTTGTCCCCACACTCCTCCAGCAATCATTTCTGAACAATCATTGTTTAAAATGCTCCCACTGCTTCCTTTGGTGCCCTGATTATCAGTGCATAATATTGTCTCTGGCTCCTTGAGTCTAAGAAAAGTAAATACAGATTAGTGGGAAAGTAAAATTTTGTTGCAAACTAGATTGATATCTAGTAAATGGGTAGTGTCTTTCATGGTAAAAGACAGCCCTTCTGTTGTACTCCCTGGGTTAAAATAAAACACCCCATGCGCCATGTCTGACATTTACTCTCTCTTATAGCATCTATCAGAATCCTGGTGTGGCGCTGTGGGTTAATGCACTGGACTGCAAAGTTGGTTTGAACCTCAAAGTTGGTGGTTCAAACTCACCATCTGCTCCTCAGAAACCCTATAGAGGGTCACTATTGATCGGAACCAACTCGACAGCACTTAACAACAACAACAACAGCAATAGGCTCTCTCTGGACCCTTAGTGTGGTGCTGTAGGATCAGCACTGGACTGTGAACCACAAGGCCAGTAGTTCAAACCTACCAGCTATTCCTCAGAAAGCCTCTAGAGGGTCTCTGTGGATCAGAACCGACTCGATAACAACAAAATAGCCTCTCTCTGTGGTTTGAACTATTTATTCAGGATTGGAGATAAGCTAACTATGTGCTGAGCCAGCTAGGAGATGAGACTCCACATTCCAGAAGCACATATTTGAGAGAAAAATGGTGGGGAGTTGAGACAATGTAATACGCTTGGGCGAGAATCTAATCCTTGCCTAACCAGTGAGGCACTTGAGCTAACCAGTGAGCGATTAACTTAGATAACTGTCCTCCTTTTCTAGAAGTTCATTATTGAATCCCATCAAGAATTTGGAGACCTACTCTCATCTGCTAGAAGGAAAAGCTAGCCCTTGAAAGATGCTGGTTTTGGAGCCAGAGTGACTTGTGTTTGAATGCTAAGTAATCTTGGACCAACACATTTACCTCTAACTCCCAGTTTTAGTTCTATAAAATGGAGCTGTCAACTCCTCCCACTTAGTGTTATTATAAGAATTATTCATAATATATACAATGTGACACATGTTGTTAGGTGCTGCTGATTTGGTTCCAACTCACAGCGATCCTATGCACAACAGAACAAAACACTCCCCAGTCCTGCACCATCCTCACAATTGTTGTGTTTGAGCCCTTATTGTTGCCACTGTGCCGGTTCATCTCGTCGAGGCTTTTCTTCTTTTTCACTGAAAAAATAGTTGGCACTAAGCAATAAGGAGCTCTGGTAGCGTAGTGGCTACGAATCGGGCTGCAAACTGCAAGGTCTGCAGTTCGAAACTACCAGCTGCTCCGCGGGAGAAAGATGAGGCTTTCTGCTCCCATAAAGTTTTACAGCCTCGGAAACCCTGTTCAGGGTCGCAACCGACTTGATGACACTTAACAACAACAACAACAACAACAAGCAATAATAGCTATTGTTGCTGTGATTATTTCATGGTCATTTATAGTGCAAGTGTT